AAATAGTAATGTGAATTTTTTTAACATGAGAAAATTGCAAACATGTACAAATAACGACACTGAATTTTTTTTAAAAAATTGAAATTCAGATGCATTTTTATTCAAATTCTGATGGCATATATTTACTTCCACAGCTGACACTGAAAACTTTTAACAAGCACGGAAGTTCCAACAATTGTCCTGTTAAGTCTCCCATTTTTTTCCTGTTAAATAATACATTATTTGTTTGCTGGTGTCCTAAATCCTAAAAAATCCTTGTATTTTTTTTTGTTTTGTTTGAGGTTTATATTTTTAAACATTAGGATTATTGTATACAATCACAGGAAAATAAGTAAATAAAGGCCTGTTTTAACGTCACAAAAATAAAACCATTAACCTTTCCATTCCAGGTGGTGGCGGTAATGCACCGTTTTGTAGTTTTCCAGCTACCAWAAAACAACACAAGAAGAAGAATRAGAARCTCTCTGATTGGTCGAGTTCCACTGGATTCGCCGACGTCCATTGTGAACTCGCACGTTAATAGGCCGGTACAATGTGAGACTGGAGAGGACGAACCCCATTGGAGGAGCGAAACAGACAAACGTGAGTGTGAAACCAGAAAAATAGGCGCTAAAATTATATCCTCGCTCRAAWCCATGWTGGCAGCTTCTGGTAGAGATTATAWATATACAGTAAGTTTATTCTTAAAGCACCTTTTTATGGGCATAAAATCACAGGGCTTCAAGAGTGATTAAGTTTTAAGTTTTTTCTTGCTTAAATGATGTAGAAACAGTAGCTATACAAACTAGTATAAGCCCAGATAAAAAGGCACTTTGAATCTGCTTGTGCACATTCCTTTGTTCTTTCTTTTGTTTCTTAGCTTGGTTAACATCTAATGATTGATAACCAAGTTTGTTTAGAGAACTAAACTGAGAACTTAACTCCAAGTCAGTTACACTGACAAAAACAAGTTAAAACAAACATAACCTGTTTAAAAACCTGCAAAAGACCTAATACTGCTTTCATTACCATGTACACAATTATTTTTACAATGTGAAAGAAATTGAACAAGAAAAGGAAAAGGCATTGACATTTTCTTACCACTAGAGGGAAGTATAGCCCAACAAATCTCAACTCAGGAAAATGACACTTATGCACATGTTTTAATGTGTCTTGTAAGCCATGTGCTGGGCACCATGGTGCATGACACACTTGGAAATAAAGTTAATAGAGATAAATAACACTAATAATTGTTATATGTACCTCCATGCACAAATCACATTAACTTTTTCAAAATAATAAATGCAATGGATGATGCAGTTTCGCATTCTGTTGCAGTAATAAACTATTATCACAGTGTTTTTTTTTTTTTTTACAATTTAGCAAGAATCAAGAATAATAAAGAGTTCCAGTCTAAAGTTTTTGTATGAAAAATAACACAACTCTACTCCTTTTAAACCCCCTTATCACCTTGACCAGCTGATTTTTCAAAAGGTTAAGACTTTTCCTCTTTTAAAAATGCTTTTTTCTGATGATAAAGTGGCATTTAGGGAACCTCAAGTATGTTTGGGGTTATCTGAAGGATTCGTCCTCCATGCGTAGGTCAAAAACCTACTGAAAACAAAAATAAATCTACCAGATATAGCTATGCCCACCGTTTCTTTCCCATCCTTCTTCTGCAAACTGAAACCAGTTCAAAGCTGCATCAGTAAGTAAATTATATAAACTATCACAACATTGTACAATAACAAATGATTAAATAAAATATGTTTTACAATCTGTTTTTTTGTTTTTTTGTTTTTGTTTTGTTTTTCTCCACCTTTTCAGCATTTTCACTACACATTAAAAAACACCTCATTAATATTAAATAAATGTCTTTCTTAGAGGAAAAGAAAAAGATGAGCTCATGGTCTCGGACCCCCGTGCAGTCCCATTTTGATTTACGAGCTCAAAAAAAGCAGAAGTGGTATGTTAAAAATCCCAAGAATGCTTGAAACCCGTGGTGATTTATGCTGCTTTTGGACCAAGGAAAAGCAAACGTTCAGTGTGCGGGAGATTATTATTTTTCTTCTTGAAGGTGCAGATTCCTGTGGGACTCTCCCTTTCCTTCCCCATGAATGAACATTTTACCGATGAATGCGTGTTCGCAGCTTTTCTCAWCGGATTCTTGGCTTTTCACCACTATAAGGATGCAGGTGCTTTGATAAGTAACAGAAGATCATTTCCTCCCAGTGGCTGGTGCAATCACCTCTTTCTTTTTGCACCTTTTTTTCCCCTCCCTCCCACTGGCTCCACCGTGACTTGCCCTTATGTGAGACATTCCTCATGTGCCTGAAAAGCCACGCCTCTTCACTTCTATGTTCAATCTAACATTCATAATATATCAGAATTCACTCTTTTGATTTAAAGAATTAGCTCAGGTCAGAACACATCTCAGTGTTTTACTCTGATTAAAAAAAAGGAAGAAACTAGAAGCACTCTGAGAGTGCAAACCTCCGCCAAGTCCAATTTCCCTGTAATCTAGTAAATGCACAGAGATGGAAACACATTTGCCAAATAAGTTCTACCGTAGCGAACATTTAAGCAGGTAGCTTGCAYGGGATTTATTCCCGGTGGAGTCCAATGTGGGGGAAAAAAGGGAAAAAGTCAGACTCATCACCTGACGTTATTGTTGAAAGCTTTCGCATCGGTGCTACGTGATTTAAAAAAGCAGAGTTTTCATTGTGCGTCTAATCACACAGACACATGCGTCTTCCTATCTTTGTGAGGACCACACACAGCGGTCACAACTAGGGCTGTGTATTGGCAAGAAATTGGCGATACGATATATATCATGACAGAGGGGTCACGATACGATATATCCCAACATATTGCGATACTATAAGCAAGGTGATATATCGCGATATATTGCGATTTTTTTTGTCCAAAAATTCTATTAAATAAAAACCTCTTACAGGGAAAAAAAATGAAAAACCAAAATTCATTGTCTCAGAAAATTCTATTATTACAGAGACATACTTTTGATACATTTAGCTGTGTTCTGCTTTGTATGTATTTTACTTTATTTATTTTATATTTCTTATTTCATCCATGTTTTCAGTTATTAGACTAAATTTGACAATAAATAGTTTGAAAATATATTTTTTGCAGCTTTTAGTTTTTAATATTAATTTAAAATATGGTCACCCAACACTTAACAATAGCCTCTACCTCAAGAGGTAGAGGAGCCAAATGGCTGGCTCACTGCTGCCAACTAGTGGTCAGAGGCTGAACTACAACATAAAAATGAACGGCTGGCAGGAAAGTTGACATTTTAAACCTTAATAAAAAATCGATACAGGGCTTTAGAATATTGATACAGTATCGGGCAATGAAATATCGCGATTTTTCAGTGTATCGATATTTTCTTACACCCCTAGTCACAACCACGCTCTGCGCATTTTCCCACCCCCCCCCAAAGTTTGGCGAGAGGTGGATAGAGGGGTGCACAAATAGCTCTCAACTTGATCTGGCCTAATTGAAATAATAATAAAAATTAACAAACAAACAAACAACCTCCGAGTCTGAAGTCCACTGCGTCAGTCCTCTTCCTCAATCTTCATCGATCTGTGTACAAACCTACCGTCAATGTGGTGTGTTTGAGGAAATGGGGAAAAATGGGTGTCATGGTGCAGTCACGCATTTCGTGGT